TCACGCGCTTCCCGCCGCGGCGGATCCGGTCTCACGCCAAAACCCTTCGGCTTCAGGGGGCCGAGTTAACTAGGATACCAAAAACTACAAAACATCGTTTAAAGAGACACACGCAGCTGAACTCTGAGCTTTACAGGGTGGATTTAAAAACAGGAAATAGAGACGATTTTCAGAGTGAAATAAAAGAGCAAATAGAAACTAAAACAGCTAAACCGCTTTTTAAAATTTAGCCTTGATATTAAATATTTAATAATCTGAATTCTTAAAGTATGAAAAAACAGATATTTGTAAAAAAGGGAAACATTTTTACTAAACAAACACTTTGAGGAATTTCAGTGTGAAGCTGCAGATGTTTAATTTAGACAAAAAAAGGAAAGAAAAGAAAAAGGAAGGGAGGAATAAAGGATGGAGGCAACAGGGAGAAAGAAAGGAGGGAAAGAACAAAAGGAAGAAAGGATGGATCCAAGAAAGAGAACAAATAAAAAGATGAATAAAATAATGGATGCTTTCATCCATTCTTTTGGAAGAAAGAAAGGACAAAGGGGAGAAAGAAAGAAAAAAGAACAAATATTTGGAAGAAAGCAAGAAAAAAACAAGGAACAAACGAAAAATGGACAAATGCAAGGATGGAATAAAGAAAATGGACCAAATGTCAAAAGGAAGAAAGAAAGGACAAAAGAAGAAAGGAACAAATGGAAGGATGACAGGAAAGACGACGGTGGAAAACAAAAGCGATTTTGAAAAGAGCCGGTCAAATCAGTGGAAAGTCAGCGGAGCAAAAACAAATCTGGGATTTGTATTTAGAACAAAAACCAGGTAAGCCTCTCATTCATCGGGGGTTTCTATTGTTGCTCTAAATAGACACAACCTGCCCGCTCTGCTTGCACCTGGCACCAGAAGAAGAAGAAGAATCAGCCTTTTGAGGGCCGGGTGAAAGCAGAGCGAGCGGCGAACAAAATGGATCGCACAACTACAAAACATCCCATTTTCAACTCCATTAGCCCTCCCTCACAGACGCCACACTGTTGTGCTTTTTGCCACTTCACATGATTAATCACGTGCAGCGGCTGAACTGCAGGCAGCGTAGATGAATGTAGGAAGAAATAACACATCGACACACACACACACACACACACACACACACACACACACACACACACACACACACACACACACACACACACACACACACACACACACACACACACACACACACACACACACACACACACACACAGGTGAGGGGGAGTCAAAGAGACCTGCTGACATCTGGTTTGAGTCTGTCATGGAAACTGCTCAGAGTATTTATGGAGCAGCAGGGAGATTTTTATCTTCAAGAGCAAAAACCTCAAACATTTTGTTTGACGTCTGCCTGCAGATTTCTTATTTTCTAAGAATGTTGGATGGATCCACTGCAAAAACACAACAGGTACAAAATTTAGTCTAGCTGGTGTGAACATCTTAAATGGGCGTATTATGTTTTTAATCCACATTGTGTCATTTTTTTTGTTAGCATTGAGCATCGCTCTCTCTTCAGCCTGAGTTGTTGACAAAAGCCAAGTGCTAACAGCAAAACGTCCAATTTTCAAGTTGGGCCCAGGGGGATTTCACTGATTCATGACAATGCCCGGGTTTTCATCGTTTATCGCATCATAAAACAATCATTGCATGTGTAAATTTTTTTGCACAAGCTGAAAACATTTGATCTTTTCCACATTTCCAACACATTATGACCACAAACTTCAGTGTTTTTTTATTTTATTTAAGGTGTAACTAACCCGAATCGGTATCAAACGATATTAAACCTCAGATATCAGTATCGGTATCGAAAGTGAATAAATGAATCAATGCATCTTCGATTCAGCTGGTAGAGACTTTTAGCTGCAATTCTGGCAAAAGGTGGTTTTATAAAGGATACCATGTTGGAGAAAAAATACAAAATACATACAAATATGTGAAAATGTTCAATTTGTGTGAATTCTTTTCCAGTTCTGGTTGTGTCTGTACATATGAAGGTTTAATAAACAGGTGTTTTAATATAACTCTTCCCCTCATTTAAGGCTTTTTGTTGTAGCTAAAGACAAACAAGAAATGCACCAAAACTTGAAGATTCTGGGAACAAAATGTTTCCATGCTTCTCTGCTGCAAAGGAAACAGCTATAACAGTTACATTTCAGGCTCTGCTGTCAATCACACATCACATAAAACTAAAGGTTGCTCAAATGCACTTCTGCTACAAACCAAAGAGGATTTCTGTCTCTCGCTGTTTGTCCCCTTTCTGCAGATTCTCGTGTGGCTCTGTTTATTGATTACACAGAACAAGCCTCTCAAACTCCTTCTCTCTGCTGGAGGCGAGCTGCTCTAGGCTTCATTATCAGCTACCTGCAGAACTGTTGGCAATCAGCTTGAATTATGGGCAACACAAGAGCCAGATTTTGACAAGGAAGATTAATGTTTGGAGTTAAAATCAGGCGACATCTCTGGTTGAGGCCTCTCGTCGTGATAAGTTGGAGTAAGAGCAGGAAAATGACTCCTGCGTGTTTGTGGAGGTCACTGCGTGTTGCACGGCAGTGACAGCAGACTGTAACCTCATGCGTCCTTCCAAACTTCCCCCTATCATGTCCGAGGCAGAAAGTGATGAGTGCACAGTACTGTGGACAGCCGGGCCGCCTGGCTGCCCACTCGTCTATTCTCCAGCTTTTATTTTTTTTCCTCTGTGAAAGTGAGCCAGTGAGCAAGTGACCTTCAACCACACCCAGTGGGAAGAAGAAAAGACAAGAAGGGAAAGGAGATGAAGCAGCATGGATAGAAAAAAAGAGAAGACGACTTGAAAAGCACATACGCTATTATAAAAAAAAAAAAACACTGGAGTGAGGAAAATGGAAAATCTCTCCTCTCTTGGAAGCCATCGGAGCGGGGAGCTGAATCTGACAAGAAAGATGACTCTCCATCGCTCTTCTCTCCAGTCTGATTAAACCTCTCACTCCACAATAAACCCAACAGTCTGCAAGCCTCAGAAATGAGCAGAGCTGAGGACCTGAGCCTCGGCTAAAAATGTTAAAACCTTGAGGCTACGGCGATGCTATGACGTTCAAAATGTGTCTGACAAAGGAACCGAAATTGAATTCTTGAAGACGTAATGAGCCAGACGTTTCCAAAGATTCATTTTTCCCAACAAAATCTGTCTGTGAAAATTCCCAATCCTCCTCTTTGAACACGCACAAAGCCGCCAAACAGAAGTTAATCTATAACAGAAGGATAATTTCCTCGTGTGACGAAGGCAGTGAGCAGACAGAAGGAAGGCTAATTAAAGTTGTAACATCTGCTTTTGGAGCTCTAACTCTGTCTGCAGGGCAGAAACATCTTTCGCTCCACTTCCGCTGCGTCTCCTTTAAGCGATGATGGGTAAAATAAGCTTTCTGCAGAAAAACAAAAAACGGTTCTGAGAGCAGTGACGGTTTTTGACATGGGTCATGTCCAAACCTCCCGTCTGTCAGCAGGAGAAACCAGGTCGCCGGAAGAATAGGAATCCATAATGTTTGTTGAAACTCTTATTTACAAGCCTAGTTCATTAAATGCCAGAAAAGCAAATGTAATCTGAAACTGGCATTTAAAGGTGACCTATTATGCATCCTTGAACAGGTTAGGATGGCTTTATGGGCGACGCAACACATGTTTATTACATTTTTGTGCACAAAATCATAGATAATGAGGTTTTAGTCTATTTTAAGACCTTTCAGAATGAGCTTTTTTCAGGTGTCTTACCACTTTAAGTCCAAATAAAGGAGGGTGGGAGGTCCTGGCCACGCCCCCAACTCATACGTAAAAATGGCTGCCAACAGATAAACAACCATGCAACTGTACATCTTTGAAAAGCATTAGTAGAGCCTCCTGTACAACCAACAACAATTCTGCAAGTAGTTTTTGGATGGTAAGTCAACAACAAAACATTTGTCTTTTCCAGCAGCCATTGTACGGCACATTCAGTGGTAAAACCAAACAAGGGTTATTAGGTAGCGGCGCAGAGTGACTTAACAATCAGGAGCTTTTTGAAATGGCTCGTTTTCGAGACACCAAGAGCATAAACTTATTGCCAAAAAATGGCTGTTTTTTATTTTTTAGCCCAAATGCCAACCAGTAGCATTTGTTAGCCACCTGTAGCATTGGGTGCAATGTGCCAATCAAAACTATACCCAGATATTTAAAATATTTTATTTACTCGCTTCTAAAACAAAATATGTGAAGAAATCAATCTCCTCTGGATTCTTCCAGTCCTAATTGGAAACAACTAATCAGAGCCAGGAGGCAGGTTTTAGCGCTGTCAATCACTCTCCGTGTGGTGCTCCTGTACATTCCCCTTTTGCTCTCTGCTACACTGCTGCTTGCATAGTCTGAATATTAAGGCTATTTGGCTTAACCACACATGACGGCAGATAAACAGTTTTGCTGTAACAGCAAGTTGTTTTTCCACCAGTAACTTATTTAGCAGCATGTAGATGAGGTTGATTGACAGCGTTAATCAACCTGATACTCCTGGCTCTGATTGGTTGGTTTTAGTTCGGAGTGGTGAATTTCTTCTGAGAGCAAAAGGAGCTTGATCTTTGAACAGATTATGTGTCTCATATCACAACATTGTGACACTTTTAACAAATACGTAAAAAAATATAATAATAATCAAAATTTCATACCGCAAATTTAAATGTTCATACAAAGATATTAAAAATGCAACAAAATATAAATAAATAATAATAAGAAAAACATTTTCTGTCCCAGTTTTTTCTTTGCAACTGGAATTAATTTTAAAACAAAAATCTAATTTTTTTAATTTCAATGAGAAACTCAGTTACCATCAACATGCACGGCTTGCTCCCCATTCACGCAGGAGCCGCTCTGCTTTCATTATTTCACTGCAAGACGCTGCTCTGAAATATTCCTCCATTCCTGCTGAACTTTCCACAGCTGAGGAAGAGGAGGAGGAGAAGGAGGAGGAGGAACTGAAGGAGGGTGGGAGGTCTGAGCTTTGAGCACGTAGCCTGCTTACAAATCACCACGACCAAAACTCAGCGTGCGGGAGTTCGCCTCGCACCTTGCAGATTTCCGTCGCTCCAACGCAGATGAGGATGATGCTGCTGCTGCTGATGAAGCTCCACTTCTGAGCGACTTCCAGTCCGCTCCGCACAGCCGGAGCAGCGGGAGCAGCAGGAGCCTTCCTCCCTCCTCCTCCTCCCTTTTCTCCTCCCCCGCTGCTAAGTCAAAAGATTAACAGACCCCCACACTGCAGGGAGGCGACAGCATTCGCAGATCCGGATCCAGATCGAGCCTCTGCAGGGAAAAAAACCCCAAACCCGGAGCGTATAGAACCGAGCCGAACCGGGAAGGAAGACATCTGCGCTGAAAACGAGGGGAAATGTTAGAACTATGATACGAGTTTTTGTTCTTAATTCCTCAGCAGCTTCATCGCGGGGCTTCTCGGTGGAGCTTCACCCGGACAGTGACACTTTTATCGGCTCATCATCGACACTGAAGGAGGGAGGGGGGATCCACTTATTGGCCACCCGACTGCGCTTCTAAATCACGCCAGGACGATTGAGCCCAAGTGCAATACGAATGGTTTGGGTAACTACAACCTCACTTTTCTCTAATTTATTTACAGTTATTATGTTCGTTTTTATAACATGTTGTAAAACTCAAAGCTGCAAGGCGGCTAATGAGGGGGAAATGTGACTCTAAAACATCTGTTGATGTGGATTTGGGTCTGGAGGGAGGATTTATTGAGCTCTATTAAATTATTAGCTGTCTCGATGCCCTTGATGCTCCTCAGCCACCTGTGGTTGCTGAATTGTGCAATTTGGGGACGCCGAGCGGTGGCTGTTTATGGAGATAAACTGCAGGTGCAGACAAATGAATCTTGGCTCCAACATGGCTCTTTCTGTCCACTCGGGAGTCACCAGATATTAATAGAAAATGACTGAAAGTGGGGAAACCGGAGCATCGCTTCATCTCTGTCAGAGATTTTAGTTGCTTTCTGGATGATTACTTGAACAATGCAACACAGAGAGACAACACAAGGTTGATGAAACTGGTTCTTAGTGCTACCTGCGAGCGCACAGTAACTCATGCTTACTGTGAAATGGGCTGCCTCACCTTGTCAACAGCCGTGTCACTTCCCAGACAGCAAGAATGATGAATTTGGTCATTACCGATGAGCCCGGCTGGACAGGAGGGTTGTCAAACCTGCCTCTCAGTCAGAGCAGAATAAATTACACCGCGCAGACATGGGAGGGGAGCAAAAACACAAACAGATCTCCAGATTTCCAGGGTGAGGATTTGCAGGTGGAATAACTTAGCAGCAAATAGAAGCTGTGAACTTCTCCGCACCCACACCTCCCTCCAGGCTGGGCTTGTTCCCCGAGAAAACACAAGACACATTTAAAATTCCAATATCCACTCAATTGGCCGCCAGGAAATTCATTCAGGTTTCAGGGGATGATAATCAACCCGCTGAGAGACAAAAGGTGTCATATCCAATGAGAGGTTTCCGATCCGTCCTCCTTTACCGTCACTCTAGATCATTAGAAAAGCCCAGCCTTTGATTTCCTTCTGTAATAATCCCAACTTCTTCAATATCAACATTTTAAAAGATTATGCTTCCAAACTTGCTGAAATTTTTATCAATACCTCCTTTCAAATGTTCTCTGAATGACGTCCAGGTCAACTAGAGTGTTTTCCTCAACATGAGCCAAAATAATCACTCAAGTTTGTAAGCCACATTTCAGCAATGAGGCGGCTCAAAGTGCTTTACCTCATAAAAACAAACGTTTCTTAGTCAACAATTGAGAAATCAGTAAAGAAAACATTACATTCTGCAAACTGCCACCATTAAAATCATCAATACACGTCAAATATTTTGGTCAATGTTCCAGTTATTATGGACCTGAGAGGTCTGGAAGGTTGATAGAACATAAAGCCTCCAGACGTTTCCCTCGCTGAAAAGACAGAACGTGTCAAAAGTTTGAAGAAATTTCTAAAACTAAAAACAGCTGCATCTCCATTTTGTTACGATTTTTGACATTTTGAATTAATTGACACACTGCAATTTAGAAAAACTGTTTTTTAATAAAGTTTTGTTGCTATGATGCGGTATTTATTGTGCAAAACTGCAATGGAAACACTTTTTTCACATCAAGCGAGTCACAATCAATAACTGGACGTTACCACTGGCAGAAACCATGAAGAAGAAGACAGGAAGTAGCTGCAGGATGTTTGTTCATGTTTGACTTAATTGTTTTGTATTTAATGGAAACCGCAAAAAAATTGTTTTCGTTTTTTTTTTCTACATCAAACTGAAAGTTTTGCAGACATTTGCAATGAAAACGCAGCTGGGAAGTGAATGTTTTCAAACCACAATTTGAAAGCTTAGAGTTACACATCTTAAACAGCTGAGCTGAGGCAAGCAGTCCCAGATCCGACGGACAGTTTTCAGCCCAAACAAAACATAAAACAACAACAACAAAAAAACAAAACAAACAACAAAAAAAAAAAACTATATATATATATATATAATATATATATATATATATATATATATATATATTATATATATATATATATATATATATATATATATATATATGTATATATATACACATAAAGAAACTTTGCATTAAATCTTATATGTCCTGTATGTCACTGACCGGATTTACAGATGTTTCAATCCTCAATTCAAAATGTCCTGGTTGTCCTTCATTGTACTCTGACCAGAACCAGATCCGATTGGCACTGCTAAGGACGTCACTCTGGGAGCAGCAGACTAGTTTTATTTTTTTCTTGTGTCTTTTTGAGTCATAAAGTTGCAGATTTCTGTTTTACTACTACATAGTGGCATTTAATTAACAAATGACTCTTAATCACTGATGATGTCATTTTTGACAGTTTATACTAATTTAAAAACAAATTAAATGAAATAAGTGCAAACAGACTGCTTTTTATGAAAATGTAAAGGTTTTGTGGCGACTATTTTTCCACCAAATGTTATGAAAAGCAACTCACTTTTATAACAATTGGAGGTAACATAGTTATTTGATTGTGTGATTAAATAACCCTGCTTTAAATACAGTTTTGGATCATCTTCCAGCAGGAAGACGTGTAAAGTTTTGGTTTCCATCACCTTAAAACTTAATATTTAATACAGAAGAGTTTTTTTCCCCTTCTGTTTCAGTGTCACTTTTTAAAGTTGCATTAAAGTTTCATAAACCTTCTGAATGTGTTCAAAAAGAAAAAAACACCATATTTTTTCTTTGCAAACCGAATCAACAGGGTTCAGGATATTTTCCCTAATCTGCAGAACATTTTTACTTTTTTCCAGTGAAATGCAGAAGCATCTCTTCTCGTTTCAGTCCTCAGTAACAATAAAGGTAGTAATTCATCACTGAAGCATCCACATGAATAAATATAACATTGCTATAGATGTATTAATCAGTGATGTTATTATAGCAGCTGTTTGAATAATAATTTCTCTGTTTTAGATTACAACTGTTCCATCACGTTTTTGCATAAATACTGTGATGCCACGAGAATCTCAAAGATGAATTTGGATTAATTCAGGCCAGGCTCGTTCAAGTGGATGGAAGTCACTTTCACTTCTTCATCACCTCCTCTTCCCTTGAGCTTATTTATGAACTATCACCATCATGCAGTAACACTTTATTAGCCATGCAGACAGCCCAGAAGGCCTATTAATCTTTCACTTACAGCTTTCCTAATCCACACATGCACCAATGTGTAAAACTCTCGGTTTTTCCTCCCAGCGGGGGGATCTTCTGTCGTCTTCAATGACTCAGGAAGGACAGGAAGGCGGCGGAGCGCTTTGGAGTTAGGGATGCGATGTGTCTTCCATCAGCAAGATATCAATACACGTTTTTCACTGGCAGACTGACAATCTGCAGCTCGATCAACTGTTAGGGCACGACTGAAACCGGTAATGATTTCATATGACAATGCGATCGATCCGCTGAGGGGTTGACACTGAACAGAGAAAGCGAACCGCGCTGCTGCGCTTTTCTCTCTTTTTTTTTTACACCAAACACAACAGAGAGAGAGACACCGGTCCTGTAAAGTCAATGATCATTTCTCACTCCCACAGATCGATGCTGTTTTTTATTCCGTCGGTGGTTGATGCACATTATGAGCTGTTGCAAAATTGCAGGATGAACCCTCCCTGTTCAGCCGCATTGGCATTGTCTCCGTGCAGTCACCCCGGCAGTGTACACAAAGCCACAAGACGAGCGCGTCTCCAAACAAATAGCAAGTTATCAATATTCATCTGAAGCGAGATGGGGGATTTGGAATGATTAAAGTCTGCAGCGCGGTATGAGAATAAACACGGCAGACTATTGAGGCAAAGAAAAAGCTTTGACAGGGCACCTAGCTCCCCCTGAATGTGATTAATTAATAATGAATGAGCTGAGCATTGAAAAAGAAACAAGTAGAAACTTGTGGAGAAATCTGCAAATCAAAAAGAAGCAATCTTGGGTCCTTTATGGGAAATGAAGGGTATTTAATTCAAAGAACAGTGGAGGAAAGACATAAAATAAACAGTTTAATAGGCCTCCCAGCTTGAGTCACCAGAGTGTGTTGCTCTGGCCAAAGATGAAGGGCGCTCACTGCTTCTCCTCTGCAGCTAACGTCTTTAACCATAGCAACAGGCATCAAAGTAGTTTACAGTTGGTTGAGAAATAATGCCGGAAAATAATCACGTCGTGTGCTGCACATTTGTCACTTTTACTGGAAAACAGATAGCTCAGCAGAGATGGAAGTAAGTAAAACTTTAATCGCACCTTTAACAGAAAACCACACAATGCTTTACATAAAGCAATAAGATGCAAAACCACAGAAAATATAAAACCGCAGAAATAAAACACAATAAAACTGAAACGAAAAGCCAATTTGAACAAATGGGCGTCTGAAAAAATGAGAATTCTGAATTGATCAGCTCCGAAATCTGAGCATAGTGATGGACTCTGACCTGGACCTTCAGAAACACCTAACGACGGTTATAAAGTCAGTCTTCTACCGATTAAACATTACTTCCAGAATTAGAGGACTAATGTCTCAACAAGATCTACAGAAACTCATCCATGCGTTTATCTTTAGTCACATTGATTACCACAACAGTTTCTTCACAAAAAAAAAACAAAAAAAAGTCCTCCAGCTGCAGCAGATCCAGAACGCTGCTGCTGGCGTTCTGACTAAAACCAGGAAGATAGAGCACATGACACCAGTTCTAACGTCCTTCACTGGCTCCCTGTAGCTCAGAGAATAGACTTTAAGACACTGTTGTTAGTTTATAAATCACTGAACCGTTTAGCGCCATAACGCATTAACGATCTGCCGTTGTTAAAGCAACCTTCCAGACCTCTCAGGTCTTCTGGAAAAGCAGCATTCAGCTTATATGCACCACAAATCTGGAACAAACGTCCTGAAAACTGCAGAACTATCAAAAACAGAGTTCCTCCAAATCAGGACCGACTCTCGCCTGGTTAGAGTTGCTTTTAAATAATCAATGAAAAGTTCACCAACATTTCTGACGTGTAGCGACGATTTTGATGATGCCACTCATCATCAAAATGTAATGTTTGTTAGTTTCTCAATAGTTCTCATGTGACGACTGACTTCCACTGAACTTTGTAACTGACAGCCACCTCAGCAGGCTATATTTACAGTAGTACTTAGTGCCCAACTAGCTAAGCTACTGTAGCTTTTATCTGCTAGCTAACACAGACATGTAGCCCACATGTTTACGACATATACTTCCTCTGCCAGTCACCAGAACATTGTTTTTCACATGAAGAGTTTGTACAAAGCCGTTTAAATATTGATTGTATCCCTGTAGCTCCTCCATTTGTGCTTACTAAGAAGTAAACTATGGCATAGTTTGATGCAGGAAGCTGCTCGTCCCATTGACATATTTTTTTTGTACGTCTCATACGGGTCGATCCCCACAGCAGCCATCTTGCTCATTTTCTCTCACACATTGGTCAATAGTGTCCACAGATTAGTTTCTTTTTGTTGGTCTGCTATTCATTATGCATGCACTTCAAATCAATTCAATTCAAAAATACTTCATTGATCCCAAAGGGAAACTAAACGTTGTTGTAACTCCTTAATTCAAAATCTTCAGAGTGACTGCATATGGTGATGGTTGTTGGCAGGAAAGATCTCTTGTAGCAGTCTGGATTACTATGAATCTGAAGAAGCCTCTGACTGAAGATACTGAAGAGAGCTGGCTCCTGAGGAGGACGGTCAGGTTGTCCATATTGAGATGCCTACTAAGATGGCGCAGAATCGCTTCCTGTTCAGACCAGTGGGAACTATGGCTTGTATGACTTTGTGTTTTTATGATGTAAAGAAATGAGCTACACCAGTAAACGTGCCATCTGTCCTGCCTCTGTTCCAGGCATGGTGCCCACGCCCCAGGTGTGCGTATCAACCCTGGTCACGGTGAGCACGATGGCGGTGGTGGACCTCTATCTGCTGGAGCAGAGCATGCTGGGAGCTCGCGGCATGTCTGGACCCAGCGTGTGGCAGTACGTGACGGTGCTGTTGGGAGACGCCTGCTTCCTGCTCGCCCTGCGCTTCGTCTCGGCCGGCGTGGTTTCCGAGGCGCAGTCGTCGCGCCGCGGTTTCGCCAACGCCTTGTGGTTCCTCTTCCTGTCGCTGCTGCAGCTGAAGCTCTTCTTCGTCTGCCACAACTACAGGCAGGAGCGGCGGCCGCCCGACCCGCTGGCCAGGAAGACGCTGACGCTGCTGCTGTCCATCTGCCTGCCCTCCCTGTTCCTCATCCTCACCGGCGCTGATCATATGACTCCTCAGCGCAGGAAGCAGGAAGTCCGGAGCCGGCTCCTGTGGGTCGTCGTCGACCTCCTGGACGTTCTGGACCTGCAGGCGGGGCTTTGGGAAGCCCAGGGCGGGTCTGGAGGCGTGGTTGAGCAGAGGCTGCCGATCTGGGCGGAAGGCCTGGTCTTCTTCTACTGCTACGCGCTTTTGCTGCTGCTGCCGTGCGTGGCGCTAACGGAGCTGGGCGCCACCGGGCTGCCCGGGCAGAGGGGCCCCCGCCGGGAGGCTCTGTACCCCTGGCTCAGCTTGGTCACCATCAACATTTTCACCCTGGCTCTTCGGGGAACCGGCATGCTGTGGTACAGAGACTCCCGCGTGTCGACTGTGTTTCTAGGGAAAAACTTATTGGCGCTGGCCGTGAAGCTCAGCTCAGCATGGGAGAGACACAAGCAGGAGCGCGGCGCTTCAGGAGCCGGAACCGCGCCTGGATCGGAACCAGAAGCTTCCACCGCGCCGCCGAGCCAGAACTCAGAGCAGGACGAGGGCCAGGCTCAGGGGAAAGCTCCTCCTGCTCATTTCCACACACTAACACGCTCACAAAGCCACACTCTGTCCCACGTCAGCCTGGAGCCGACGGCGACCCCTCTGGGCCCGTCTTTTATCTCCCATGAACTGTAGAGAATCACACCCAACATGCATGCATGCAAATACTGTATGTGCGCACACAGAGACGTTACAAACCCTCCAGCAGACCAGAGCCGGCGTCGCCTCCCAGCAGATAACAGCGGCGGGCAAAACGTGAAGCTGTGGAAATGCATTTGGCACGCTCGTCTGTTCGTGCATTACATCGCGCTGGGAGCAACTTGAAATGCATTGTTGTGATTTGTGGGAGTGCATTTTTAGAGTCAACACTGTGAACAGCACTGCCAGACTGTAAAGCGTATTGTAGAGATGTTGAAGCCTAGTGAGTACTCTCTGTTGTATAATGGAGGCTTAACTGCCTTACCTCTCTGTTTGTTGTCCTCTTTCCTCTCGACAAATATATTTTTAAACTTATTTCTACTTCTTGTTAAATATCCGTTAGTAACAAAGTTGAATTTTTACGGTTTTTTGGAGTAACTGGATCATTAGTTGCCAAAATCTGTGCTGTGACCTTTCAAAACGCATCTTCTGTCATTCCACATTAGAAAGATTGAATACAGAGACGAGGTGATGCTTCATTTTTCTTTTCCTTCGGTACCAAAGAGGCGAGATTGAACATCTAAAAGAAGAAACTCCCACTGTACCCTTCTGCACTGTGGTTCATTGTTTTAGTGTAAAGTTTAACCCAGGAGATGTTTACCTGGTTAGGTAATTAAATTTTGTGAATGGGCCCATTAGGAACATATTTACTGGGAACAGCCTGTGTTCAATACTTATTTTCCCCAGTCATTGATGAGATCTGAGCGAGTCAGCTGATCCAGAAACTCTTCATCACTTTGAAGTTTCTGGATACGTCTTACTGGACGAAAACCCCCGGGCCGACCCAGAACCCATCTCCCTTCTGGCCCAGAAATGCTCCAGAACCCCCTATGGGCTTATTACCACCACAAGAAGTGGGAAGGAATGCTGGATGGAAGTACAAACTTTTACTTTTAGCAATCGTGTCTTATTTTAGCGAATCTTAGAACTTCTAGAATGCAAACCGCAAAACCAAAAAGTTTAACCAAGTATTTTTGATCCAGCTTCCTGTGCAAATATTTTATTACGTTTGAAATGAGACAAACGGGTAACTCTTCATTTGAAGGGGTTTGGAATAGACTGACGTGTTATGAACATGAAGGAGTCTTCATGAATGTTTAGGACTGCAGTCATCACCTGTCATTCAGTAAATTAAGCCACTTTTAATGAAACCTTTAGTGTGACATTACATTAAAAGTGTCATTATTTACCGAATGACGCTTCACGACAATCACAAACATTCATGAAGATTCCTTCAGGTTCATTACATGTCAGCTTTTTTGAACAACCTTTCAAATAAAGTATTACTGACAAAACCAACCCAGAAGTAACTTTTCAGAAAGTATAGAAGCTTGATTTAGAGCAATAATTCCTTCATATTGGTGAAAAAGCACTAGTTTTACCTTGTCTGGCTTGAAGTGCTAGTACTTTTTAATCTATATCAAAGTATAATTTAGGGGGAGAGTGACAGCAGTTTTGTGGACAGTTATTGATTACCGATATTTAAAAAGCCCGATCTACTGATTTTGTCTGATACTGATTTTGTTTTGCCTGAAATGCTGTTAAATGTAGCAAGAAAGTTGCGGAGTTGGTAACAGTGGGGTGACGATTGTTAACCGTAAACGTTGAGGCATGACCTGGTGGGACTAAAAGAGGACAGTGATTGATTTCTAGACCTTTCAAAATCGGTGAATAAGATCGGCTTCAAATGCAAATATTGCCCGATCAAAATTAACTAAAACGGGGCCGATTTTTCCGTGCACATCTAAAGTGGAACTTGTACTTGTCATCAACGATAAACTACTACTGACTTAAAACAAGCTGCTAAATATCAGAACAAGAAAATGTAAAATTTTTTATACTTAAATAGAGAACAAGTCTTTAGCCTTTAATCTCAATGCCACTGATTTATTTTGGTCATGTCGAGAAACTTTCAAACTCTTCTGAATGCTGACCTTTATTTCAGCATTAAGGGAAAAAGTCAAGTAACTTACACACATGAACTGGCAGGTGATTGGGCTAAAAAAAGGAAAGAAAAACAAGAAATCGATAAAACCTCCAGTTTTGTCACGTTTCTACCAGGCTTGTCACACGGCCAGAATAAAGAGGTGAAATTAAACACGTTCAACCTTTTCCTGAAGATGTATGTGACTGGTTTTCAGCATCAAAATCACTTCTTTTTAAAGGATTTGGTCACTTTTTGATTAATACAAAACAACAAATAAAATATAAACATAATGGTACAACAACAGGAAGTTTGTCAAGTTATCTGAAAGGCTTCCTGGCCTCGTCTATCAGTCAGTGAGTGTGACATCAGATCATGGTGTCCATTTAACCCACCATTGGGTTCGTTGCTCCAGAAAAAGGGAAGATTAAATGAAATCACTTCCAGTTCCTCCTCTCTGGATAAAACTTTGGAGGAACCAGGAGTTATTTAGTTCAGGCAAAATCTGAAGCTGCATCTTTGCTGTGATTTGCATAATAAGTCAGAGACCCTGAAGTGATTTTAGCTCAAAAGTTTACTCTCACAAAAAGACTTGAGTAAAAGACCTAAATTGTGTTGAATTTCTTTAAAAATCTTAATGACTGAATGATTATTTTTTCAGATGTTTCAAGGGACATTCAGAAACCATCCATCTGCTTTGGTTTGTCCATTTCAACGTCCTTAAAAACACAAAGTGGGTCAGAAAGCAGCCAAAGTCTAATGAAAACATGTAAGACTTCAGAACCACCTTAAAACATGACAAGGAAGTCCGGCTCCTTCAAAACAAGAAATAAGTAGTGGAAATATTATCCTAACTCATTTAACTCTGACTTTAAATAGAAAAACTAAGATGTCAGAATGAAAGATGCGTCTCTCAGTCTGTTTGCACGTCAAGCAGAACCCGAAACACACAAAACGCCGGTATTTTACTACGCTGTTTACAGGAATTGAGTAATCCCTTTACTGTTTTTTTAAAACCACGTTTGATGTGATTTGTACTTAACGCAGAGGCTGTCAGTCATTTTTAAAAACAAAAGTAGAAAAAAAAACTTGCTTGTTGGAGCTTCTGATCTCTGAAGATGAAAGTTTTGGTTTCATTTTTTATTTCAGGAGTGATGGAGCCTTTCATCTGTAAATGTATCGAGACGTTGGGCGTCACAGGGTTGACATCTGCTGCTGTACGGTTAAGTGCCTTGTTTCCTCATGGAGCGACGAGAGGCACACCCGTTCGGTGCACCATGTGGAACTGGGTCAAAAACTGTGAGCCGGGTTCTGATGCACATTCAGAGTGAAAACTAGTAAACAAAGTGTCTCATATCCACCGGATGCTGACACTTCATTTGGGTTTGTGATGAATAAATACTGGGTTTAAAGCTAAAGCTGCGTTACAGATTTGTTCTGATTTTGTTAACGAATCATTAAAAACATTGGCAAATCATCAATTATCTGATTAATCACATTTTTCAAACAGCTTTGGTAGGGCTGGAGACATTCACTGAGCACATTGTCTGTAGAGGCTTTGTCCCTGATGTATCTATGGATCTTAGTTGTTTCGTCCTGGACAGTGGTTCTCACACTCACTAGCCCTCTGCCTCCTTCCTTGCGGCTCGTGTTCAGCCTCAGGGTGCTGGTTTTGGGGTGGAACCCTCCATGCATTGTTAGTAGTTTTCTAGTCTTAATATCTGGAATATCTTTTAGTCTGTAGCTTGGAAACAAATATCAACATCCAACAGAACAAAACTGATCCATCCTATTTTATTTGCTTTAGATCACTTTTATTTCAAAATGATTTCTAACTGCGAGCCAAAACTAAACACGAAGAGAATTCATTCAACTTCTATGCACCACAAATCTGGAACAAACTTCCAGAAAACTGAAAAACAGCGGAAACGCTGAGTTCCATTAAAGAAAGGCTAAAACCACCTGTTTAGTGTTGCTTTTGAACCATAATTAATGAAACATTGATCAACATATTTGATGTTTATTGATGATTTTAATGATGGCACTCGACAAAATGTAATGTTTGGCAACTGATTTTCTCAATTGTTGCTTTTATTCACTATTTTTTTATGATGTAAAGCACTTCGAACTGCCTTGTTGCGGAAATGTATTGATTTATTGATAAACTCCACAATAATGACAGAAAATATGCCAGAAGGTTACATACATGTATGATTCAGGTCAAACTTTCACCAGCTTCTCGCGGGAGTTAAATAAATTAAACCAGAATCTAAAAACTGCATTTTGATCTCAGTTAAGAAGAAATCTGTATAATTTGTTGCACCATAAAAGTCCAGCAGGAGCGGCAGGAAGTTTTCAGATGTGACTGAGTGAAATCAGGCGAAAAGCCGTCGTTTATCACGCCGGCGGCCCAGATCTTCTGGCTCAGAGGATCCGTCTGTCTTTAACGCCTCAGAAGGTGATGAGGGCCGTGTTTTAAGGGCAGCAGTAAAAGCGGGCCATCTTTTCTTTTTATGAATGCACCTGCTGCTCTCTTTTCTCAGCTTTCACAGCTTTTAATTGAAAGCGAGGCCTTTTTTTGTTGAACAGGAAGTGCTCATTTTAAAGCTTGATTTCAGAGGACGCATTAAGACTAATGCAGGCTCTGTTCATTTAGAGTCACTGCGGGGACGTTGACTCCGGATCAGGGAGAAGCCTCAGAGGGACAACCAACCTGGCAGACAGCATGCAGCCTCTGTCTTTCATCTCTCCCCCTCCTTTGTTCGCTCTACATTTCAAACACATGCACTCCGCATGCAGTCCCTGTTGGGCAACTTCTCATATTTCTATTACACTAAAAGCACCGGCTGCAAGGGCAGCAGCCGCGGAAAATGACTGCCTCCTAGAATTTGTTACACCTGTTAAGCTGCAGATACGATGCTCAGCATTTTCCTCTCACTCTCATGAGTTGCTCTTCAAGAAAAGCCACTTCTGTTTGCTTTCTTCTCTCCCTCCTCCTTATTATCCATTGTGCTAATTATTCCAAAAGCTGTCAGTTCCTCCTTTTGTCTCCGGTTCGCTCTTTTTATTTCTCTCGTTTGTTTAAATTTGCCCTGCAGCCGACAGGGAGTCTACCTCTCTGCACTTCCCTGTCAGGGGTGGTTAGTCAGAGCCAGGGAGAAAAAATGAGAAGAAGAGGATGGCTAAGATTAAAGGGCTGGGGCAGCTGCCCGAAGCAGAATGGCTCTCCACTGCCATTTATCTGCTGCTTCCTTCGTGTATTTAGAGCTGGAGCACAGAGCCACGACACAGCATCCTGATAACAATGACGTTTCCAACGAGAGGAGCCTTTAAACAAACATACGGCTTCGTTCTGCTTCGCTGAGTCCTTCCTGACGAAGCGCATCACCTCATTACTCCGATGCATATGAGCTCAAACGCACCTATCTGCACAGAGAGGCCACATTTAACGGACAGATGTCTAAATCATTCATCTCGCCGTCAGCACCACTGCTTTGGGAAGAAAACTTCAAAGAAAAACTCTAAGAGAAGAGATGATGCAAAAGAATCTGATATGCAACGCAATACTGCGGGCGAACGAATACTAATGCAGGTCTCAGACGGAGCGGTGACATTTACCGTAGGGACCAATGAAAAAAAAAAACGTGCAATAAATTTCTATAGTTGTTTCACCAACCTGAAGTTGTTTAAAGGTTTTGATCTCTGAGAATTTAATTCACAAAGAAGATTTTTTTTTTTACAGAAAGTCAAATGAAAGATGAAGGATTACGTTCCCAACTTCCACAAGAGTTAACATCGATGTAAACACTAATACAGATTGTATTTTAAGTGTAACTAGATTATTCCGACGCATCACCAGATAAAATCTCTGAAAAGTCATAAGTGAAACTTGTTAAACTATTTTAGAAACTTTAAATCCCTAAAGCTTGATTATGTAATTTTTATTTAATATATATGTTTTTAAATATTTGTTTTGATTACTAAAAATCACACTCTGAAATCCTTCTTTTAGAATATATTTTTGCAGACTTTCTAATACAAACTATTTAATCTTTGCTTAGTTTAAAATCTCTTGTCAGGCTTGAATGTTTATTTATCTCGTAATCAGACAATAAAATAGGCTGTTGTTAATTCAGAGATTGGTATTTCTTGAGGGAATTTAAAGGAGCAGAAAAGTGAACTTGAAAATATAAAAAGCAGAGATAACAGAGGAGGCCTGCTAATGGAAAATAAAAACTGTAGCTGCAAACGAAGAGCAGGACACAGACATAAAGAGAGAAATTCACAAGAGGAGAGAAAGGGCAAAACTCTAAACCTAAAACAATAATTGCACTCTAAACATTGTAAATATAAAGGGAAATGTCTGACTCATGATCGGATGCATAACCTCTAATCTGTAGAACAATGTGAAGCGGAGCAGCCGTCCTGCACGGCTTCCTGTTCCTCATGTTTATTAATGATGGAAAGCAGAAACGACCAGATGAATCCTGAAGCTGCTACAGGATTTCTGTCGACTCAGATTCATCAAAACGCTGCAAAGCTTTGATTGATGAAATGACGCCTCCGAATGCTAAGGATCTAAAACTCATCAGGAGGAAATTATTATCAGATTATCGCTAAACTAACAAGAAGAAAAAAGTAAGGAGATCGCCTGGATTACATGAGACATGATAAAATGTCTGTGACAAAACACGGCGGACAAACACGGCGTCGCATCAGTCACACTGATTGACGACAGAAAACAGAAACAACCAGATGAATTTTGAAGTGTTTACAGAGTTTCTGTCTGCTCAGATTTCTGTGTCTGGGTGCAACTTCTCTCATCAAATAAGTAAGTCAAATGTTTATGATCAGATTAAACTTATTGAAAACACAACTGAGAGCAAAATAGGAAACACTTTCCGACTGCGCAGACAGTGGGTCAAAAAGCTTGAAAAGAAGCAGCTTAAGGATGAATCACAAGTAATTTAAAGGTATCGGGTGAGAAATAAACCCAGTTCCACCTTTAAATATAAACACGGGGAAATAAAACAAAACTAAACATCAGAAATATTCACGAAATGGTAGAAAAGGCTTTTAAATATTCCCCTTCCACAGATTATGAGTAATTCAACAACTTCACAAAAGTCCACTGAGTGAATCTAAAATATCCATGAATGAACGGGTCAGAAATCCTTCTGGTTTAATGAGGAAAAGGCAGAAATGTGTTGTTTTCCTCAGGAATGAGAGGTAAAAGTCACCACTTTGCTAAAAAGCAGAGACTTCAAGGAGCAAAGGCGCCATAACGGACTGGAGACTGAACTTTAACACTTAAAGTCTATTGATAAAAAATATCATGTGTATTGTTTTATTTTCCATAGGCTAATTTTTTAAGAGTTTAAACTGTTACAAAAACTCCCTGAAAACCAGAGATGAGCAAAAACGACTTGGTTCACGCAGCCTTTAAATTTAAACAGTTTATTCCTATTGTGTTTCACCCTTTTTTCTTAGTTTTAATTTTAAAACGTCCTTCTGCTCATACAGTTAGGGCCAGAAATATTTGGACAGTAACACAATTTTCGTGAGTTGGGCTCTGCATGCCATCGCATTGGATTTGAAATGAAACCGCTACAACAGAATTCAAGTGCAGATTGTAACGTTTAATTTAAAGGGTTGAACAAAAATATCTGATAGAAAATGTAGGAATTGTACACATTTGTTTACAAACACTCCACATTTTAGGAGCTCAAAAGTAATTGGACATATAAACATAACCCAAACAAAAAGTTTTTTTCTCAATATTTGTTGCGAATCCTTTGAGGCAATCACTGCCTTAAGTCTGGAACCCATGGACATCACCAAACGCTGGGTTTCCTCCTTCTTAATGCTTTGCCAGGCCTTTACAGCCGCAGCCTTCAGGTCTTGCTTGTTAGTGGGTCTTTCCGTCTGAAGTCTGGATTTGAGCAAGTGAAATGCATGCTCAATTGGTTAAGATCTGGTGATTGACTTGGCCATTGCAGAATATTCCACCTTTTTGCTCTCATGAACTCCTGGGTAGCTTCGGCTGTATGCTTGGGGTCATTATCCATCTGTACTGTGAAGCGCCGTCCGATCAACTTTGCAGCATTTGGCTGAATCTGGCTGACAGTATATCCCGGTACACTTCAGAATTCATCCGGCTACTCTTGTCTGCTGTTATGTCATCAATAAACACAAGTGACCCAGTGCCATTGAAAGCCATGCATGCCCTGCCATCACGTTGCCTCCACCATGTTTTACAGAGGATGTGGTGTGCCTTGGATCATGTGCCGTTCCCTTTCTTCTCCAACTTTTTTCTTCCCATCATTCTGGTACAGGTTGATCTTTGTCTCATCTGTCCATAGAATACTTTTCCAACTGGGCTGGCTTCTTGAGGTGTTTTTGGGCAATTTAACTCTGGCCTGTCTATTTTTGGAATTGATGAATGGTTTGCATCTACATGTGAACCCTTTGTATTTGCTTTCATGGAGTCTTCTCTTTATTGTTGACTTAGAGACAGATACACCTACTTCTCTGAGAGTGTTCTGGACCTCAGTTGATGTTGTGAATGGTTCTTCTTCACCAAAGAAAGTATGCGGCGATCATCCACCACTGTTGTCTTCAGTGGACGCCCAGGCCTTTTTGAGTTCCCAGCTCACCAGTCAATTCCTTTTTCCTCAGATGTACCAGACTTTTTTTTACTTTTGTACTGTCTCTCTCTACTGCATGGCCATCTCTCTGATGGATTTTTTCCTTTTTTTCAGCCTCAGGATGTTCTGCTTCACCTCAATTGAGAGCTCCTTTGACCGCATGTTGTCTGGTCACAGCAACAGCTTCCAAATGCAAAACCACACACCTGGAAACAACCCCAGACCTTTTAACTACTTACTTGATTACAGGTTAACGAGGGAAAGGCCTTTTGAGTTACTTGCAGCCTTTGGAGTCCATTGTCCAATTACTTTTGGTCCCTTGAAAAAGAGGAGGCTCTGCATTACAGAGCTATGATTCCTAAACCCTTTCTCCGATTGGATGTGGAAACTCTCATATTGCAGCTGGGAGTGTGCACTTTCAGCCCATATTATATATAAATTGTATTTCTGAACATATTTTTGTCAACAGCTAAAATAACAAAACCTGTGTCACTGTCCAAATATTTCTGGCCCTAACTGTATGATGCCTTTATTTACTCTTCTAATTGTATTTGCAGTTTTGGCAATGAGCCTCATTTTCTCCATTCCATTTTAAGGCTACATTCATATTAGCCCTGTTTGGTTCACTTTAATCAGGCTCTGGTCTGTTTGTCTAGAGAAAGTCCAGTTCATCTGAGGAGGTCCGAACCTGGGACTACAGAAAGAGGACTACAGTCCAGGGCATTCTGGGTAAATACAACCAAAACAAACGTTTGAAAGGGAATTCCTACAACCGCTGAAATCTGGCGCCACTCCATTTTTGTTTACATTTCACGAGGAAAGATGTTCCGCTCAGAGTCTTCTTCTGAAGTTTTTATGTCATTTCCATCCGTGGTTCTTGGTGCAGCGCCACCACAGGTGAGAAGGGGAACTGGTTTTTCAAAGGGTTTGGAAAAATCAACCAAGTCAATAGAAACTTCATGATTCATTTTGTTGTATTTTTTTTTCTGTTGTTTTTGTTTGTTAATTTGTTCTGGATATTTAAAATGTGTTAAATGTCAGATGTTTGTTAAAATTTTAAGTATATTGATCTTCAAGAATGTGTTCTTGTATTATTATGCCACTAATACTGTTGTACAGCTCTGGAAAACTATTAATAGACCACAGCAGTGAACCCGTCTGAAAACCTCCTGGTTATTCCACCAAATATTGATTCCTGAACTCTTCCTCAGTTAAAACATTATTATTATTTCTGAATAAATGTGAACTTGTTTTCTTTGCATTATAAGGTCTGAAAGCTCTGCATATTTGTTCTTATTTTGACCATTTCTCATTTTCTGCAAATTAAAACTACATTTTTGCTTGAAATTTTACATGTCAGTTTTTTATAGAATGAAAGAGCAATGTTAATTTACTCAAACATATACTTATAAAGAGTAAATCAGAAGAGCTGTGCATTTTAAGTAATCTTAAATTCTGCTGTATTACTTGAAAATGGCCTTTAAACAACATTTTTGTCTAAAGCAATAATTTCTAGGACAATTTATCGTCTAGCAGAACTAATTGTCCTGAAATGCCAATACTAATAATAGTAGGTGTGTTACATGCATAGCGTAGCCTCTGAATGATGAAGTATCTGGTTTTATTAAAATCTGATCAGGCCCCGAAAAGGCTTTCGCTGGCCCTGCAGAGCAGATAGCCTGACTAACTAACCAGCTAAATTAGCTTCCTGCTACAACCTTAAGGAGCAACATTTCAATTTATTCCTACTTGAAACTACCAAACTCACTAGTTACTAATTGAAAATGTCTGTTTGAATTAAAACCTAAGATAATAAATGTTGTTGACTGAAAACTCAATTTGTTGAATAATTGTAGCAGCAGGGCTGCACAGCCAGTAGCTTCGTTGCCTTGCAGCAAGAAGGTGTGAAAACCAGCCAGGAGGGGTTTCTGGATGCAGCGCGGACGTTCAAATGAACCTGTTATGTTAGGGATGAGTGTGAGTTTCTGTCTGTCCTGAGTGACTCCGCCTTGTGATAGATGATGGATGGATGGATGTTGGATCGAAACGCTAACAATCCAAAATTGAAGACTGAGATATAACAAGGAAAGTGAGAAAACTCGCATGCAAAATAATTTCACAGGAGTCTTGCATGCATTATTTAACATGTCTTTCACTCAAACAGAATATTCTGAGAGGACACAGCGAGGAACAAG